AGGGAGCATTCGCACAAAGGAAAGCCATTCATGTATATTTGAATTTCCTCCCCACACACTGTTGTTGGAATACAAGAATACAAAGGAGAAAGGGCACGTCAGCTATGCTTGTCCTTAAATACTGACTCACATGACAGATGCTAAGTCATTATTTTCTCACATGTAGGCTCCAACAGCATTGAGTGACCTCTGAGACTCTTGTGACCGTACCAAGGAAAATAATTTCTCCACAGTGATATAAGCCTTGCTTATAAATGGGTGGATAACAGTCTTCAAATGGAATCTTAAAGCAACTTTAATAAACTAAACCGATACCGATACGTAATATCGGATCGGTCCATCTCTACTTTGTTCTCTGTGAAAAATAAATAGCCATTGCCTCTCTTTTCACTTTCATATGTGGGAAACGGTGCCTGTGATATATCAGGAGTTAAAAACACCTGGTGCTTTTCTGAATATCATCAGTAAATCCCTAACATGATACTTTATGGTCTGTAACAGCATCTGTTTGAGACTGTATGTACCCTGTCCTTTCTGACATGTCATGTGTATTTCAGTGCCTTATGATGAACCACCAGCTGTTCCCTACTGGCCGTACACCACCTCTGACTTCTGGAACTACATTGAGTACTTCAGATCCATCGGTGCCTACAACTACATCAATGAGATGGCCCGGGCCTTCTTCGCCCACCAGCCCATAGGAGACACTCTAGGATATGAGACCAATGCAGGACATGAACACTAAGAGAGGTGCTAGACCCAAAAGAGAGAAAAAGTAACAAGAGCATGACATGAGAAAAAAAAATGTTATCATGAGGGTTTATTAAAGGGAAATAAGGAAATTATTATAAATATGAAACAAAAGGGGGATGTGAAAAGGAACACAGTTTTTTTTAGTAGCTTAGTCACATATATACAATAGAATTAGACATAAATAGCTCTCTTATTGTCATATAAAGTGCCACAAATAAATAAACAAACCATTCTTCAAATATGTAATGGAGTCTGAGAAATGATTTCTTTTAGTCTTTAGAGATCTAGTATTTTCTCTATACTATTGTTATTATTATTATTGTTATTATTATTATTGTTATTATCTATTTATTTGTTATTATTGTTGTTGCCATTTTTGCTTTAACAAGAGGCTTACAAAAACACTGTCAAAATTTGCGATCACTATTATATTTTGCAGGCTGTCAAAACAGGACTTAAATGGAGCAAACCGCACTTACCGTTTTAACTTTAAAGACTTGAACTTTAATTTGATCTATTAATTTATTAGAAATGATTTAACGTGCTTTGCGCGTGGTCATATTGAGGAATATTATAATCACCCATATTTTGCTGAGGGCGGACCGAAAGCGGCAAGTCAGCAGCGAAAACCGGGCATGAATTAGTGTTGCACACGGTTGTTTTGTTTACCACCACTTAAGCCTCGATAACTGCTAACGCAAACGCACCGTTTGACCTAATTGCGGCGGAACTGCTTTTAGAATAACATGAAGCCTGCAGTGGATGAAATGTTTCCTGAAGGAGCTGGTCCCTATGTGGACCTGGACGAGGTAGGTTCTCAGATTTAGAGCTTTAAATTAACCGGCGTCTAGATGTGCTAACGCTAACTAGCTCCATATGTTTAAAATGAGACGAAACGGAAGCGATTAATATAATCGCCTAGCTTGTTTGTTTTTTGTTTTTGTTTTGGGGTTGTTGTTGTTGTTGTTGTTTTTTTACATTTAACTGCGTTAATACGTTACATGTTGGGTTATTCAGTATTCTTGATAGAAACACCTCAGCTCATCCCGTTAAATGCGTGCATGTCTATGCTGTTGCCTCAGCAAGAAGTCTGATTTTGAGTTCACCATCTTTCTGTGTGGAGTTTTCATGTTAACCCCGTGTTTGCGTGGGCTTTCCCGGGTACTCCGGCTTCCCCCACCGTCCACAGACATATAGTTAATGGGGTTAGGTTAACTGATGATTCTAAATTGCCCATTAGTGTCAGTAGGAAGTTATCTTTTTCTATGTGTTAGCCCTGCTATTGACTGTCAGCCTGCCCATGGTGTACCCCGTCTCTCACCCTACGATTGCTGGGATAGGCTCCAGCTTTCATATGTTTTGTTTTTTTAATGGAGAGTTTCTCTCTTGTTATTCCAACTTCCTCCCACATCCTAAAGACGTGTGTTAGGTTAACTGGAGATTTTAAACTAATGTAAGAGTGAGACTGTCTGGTGATCTGTGCTGGGTATAAACCGCCTCTTGCCCTCTGACAGCTGAGACTTCAGTCCTAAAATATTGCTGTTGTTGTTTTTAATTAGTTTTAATTGCTATAACAAGGGTATTTTACAACTTTGGCATAGATAAGATTTGTCTTATCTCACTTTATATTGGGCCTGTTATCTTTAGTTTTAAATATAATTGTGAGTGTTTATTTTTTTGTTGTGTAACATTAAATCATTGTGCTGGATATTAGTTAAAAGCTCTAAGTAAGCTCTGGCTAAATTGTTAATGTTAATTGCTTTTGTTTTCACTTGGAAGAAAAAAATCCCATCCATTTGCAACATTCAAATTTTCAGGTTATTATCTCAGAATTTCAACTTAATAACTGAAGTTTCAAGTTATTTTCTCAATTTTGAGTTTATTTCTCAGAAGTTTGAGTTGGTAAGTTGAAATTCTAAGACCTGAACTTTTAACCTGTGGATTTTTGAAGAAATTTCCATAGCATACACTGCTGTGATGCAGTAAGTGTAGCAGTTTGTGTACATGTAGATCTTTCTCATGTGGTATGACTGGTTGCACTGTTGTGTGTTTGCAGGCAGGAGGCAGCAGCGGTCTGCTTATGGACCTGGCAGCTAATGAAAAAGCTGTGCACTCCGATTTCTTTAATGGTAAGGGACAGGTTTCTGCATCTCTTCCCAAATTATTAAATTTGATGAGGATTAAATTTACTTCACTGATTCAATTTAATGAGGTTAGGGCTTACAGAGTCGAGCTGGAATTAAACATAAATCTTGTTTTCATATGGCACGGCTAAGCTACAATTCCTTAATTTGTCTCATGAGGCAAACAAATGTGATTAAAACACATGGTATAACATTCCAAAAATAAGCAACGGCATGCTCCTTTCTCTATTTATTGATCACATCTAATAGAAAAACGTGTCATGTTAACAAGTAAAAACCCATTTAAGAGTCCCCAGTTTGTAAATTTGCCTAGTTTAAGCAAGATTGTGTTTGCATGCAGAGAGGAAGGTTCTTTAATGTTCAAGGGAATAACAGAAAACTGGTAAACATCTAGATTTCTAATAGGACAAGCAGACATTTTGCCCTTCCAAAACCTTCATTTAAAGTTTAAAATACATTAAAAGTGTAACTTAAGGTGCAAATATGAACAACTCAAACAAACATAAAAAGTCAGCAAATAAACTTTCAAAGATGTGAAATAAACCCTATATGTTCCAGTATATTATTTCAGTAATTTGAAAGGCTGTGGCTGAGAAAGCCTTAAACCTGTTACCCATTTTCTTCCTTTAACCACGTTATCTTCTCATATTAACCCTCAGCAATCCCATTGTTCCCCTGTAAACACCAGTTTATGTGCAAACACAGACACAGAAGACACACTATAAAACACCGAGCAAATCTGTTTTGTGCTGGCTGCCGGTGGAACAATTTTTGGCTCAGCAGCACATGACCTAGATAGAAAAGAGCTGATTGTTAAAAAGAGAGCGTGAGGGAAATGAGAGAGAAAGAGGATGGTAAAATGAGTTTATAGCTGCTGTCAGACCGAAACTCAGCGGGACACCTCGCCAGTCAGCTGCACACACACATTGGCACTCATCACCTGGGTCGTTAACACTGCTAGAACTGGTTCCCCTCTACCTAATAAGCTCTGTACTTAAGAGTATTGTAAAACTATAGATATCATATTTTAAAGCTCTTTTTTTAAACTTGTTAGTTTTTTCCTGTAATTAATGAAGGGGTTGTGCTGACTTGAAGAAGGCAAAGGTCCCCAGATCACATTTAAACGTGACAGGGTGAGTGCAGTTATGTTACGTCTATG